TGAAGGGATCAGCTCGGTTGTGGTTTAGCTAGTTACCGGCGTTCCCCTTTGGACTTGCTTGCAGGTCATCTGGTGGAATCATCCGCCTGAATCGGAACTTGAAGAGCTTGGACCAGCTCGACCCATCCACCCAGTACGTGCTTCTTTTCCCCCGGTCATCCCCAAGCAAGTGGCCAAGTTGAGGTCACCAACCGTTCCCTTTTGAAAATCATCAAAACTAAGCTCGAAGCTGCTAAAGGCCTTTGGGCTGAGGAACTACCAAATGTACTCTGGGCTTACCGAACCACTGCTCGCACTCCCACTGGGGAAATCCCTTTTCGCTTAACATATGGCGCTGAGGTGGTTATTCCGGTAGAAGTCGGTCTGCCCACCCCCAGGGTTTTACATCCGGATCTCGCCTCAACCGAAGAGCTCCATCGAACAGACCTGGACCTCATCGAAGAGCTTAGAGAGACTGCTACTGTCAGATTGGCTTCGTACCAGCAGAAAATGAGAACACACTACAACCGCAGAGTTCGACCACGAGAGTTCTCTGTAGGGGACCTTGTCTTGAGAGAAGCGACTCTTGCCACAAAGAATCCAACCGAGGGCAAACTGTTAGCCAAATGGGAGGGACCCTACGTTGTGAAAGCCCGATCACGACCAGGCACTTACCGACTTCAAGACATGGAAGGCCGAGACCTCCCCCACCCCTGGAATGCGGAACATTTGAAGCATTCCTATCAATGAGTTCATACTTTTGTATTGTCAACATTGTTGTATTTTCCTCTTTAATACATAATGCAAATTCCGACCGAAATTCTCAGCTTTTATAATTCAACTGTCTGTATGTCGCTCCCATAACACTTTCACTTGCAGCACTTCAAAGCCTCAACCAGACACCACGAGAGTTCTCTGTAGGGGACCTTGTTTTGAGAGAAGCGACTCTTGCCACAAAGAATCCAACCGAGGGCAAACTGGTAGCCAAATGGGAGGGACCCTACGTTGTGAAAGCCCGATCACGACCAGGCACTTACCGACTTCAAGACATGGAAGGTCGAGACCTCCCCCACCCCTGGAATGCGGAACATTTGAACGTTCCTATCAATGAGTTCATACTTTTGTATTGTCAACATTGTTGTATTTTCCTCTTTAATACATAATGCAAATTTCGACCGACGTTCTCAGCTTTTATAATTCAAATGTCTGTATGTCACTCTCATGACACTTTCACTTGCAGCACTCAAAGCCTCGGTCGGACCGAGCACTCAAGGCCTCAGCCAGACTGAGCACTCAAAGCCTCGGCCAGACCGAGCACTCAAAGCCTCGGCCAGACCGAGCACCCAAAGCCTCAGCCAGACTGAGCACTTCAGAAGCCTCGGCCAGACCGAGCACTCAAGGCCTCGGCCAGACCGAGCACTCAAAGCCTCGGCTAGACTGAGCACTTCAAGGCCTCAGCCAGACTGAACACTTCAAAGCCTCAGCCAGACTGAGCACTTCAAAGCCTCAGTCTGAACTGAGCACTCCATGCTGAGATCATCCTATCCACGAAATTTCGTAAAGCAGGACTACGTTTTTAACACTCAGTCACATTTTGAAACTTATTCACAATTCCAGGACCATGTTTCTACTTAGTTAGATTCCAAAGGTATTCTCACGTATTTCAATTACTAATCAACAGATCTCCAAATCTGGCATCTGCCTCATCTTTTTGCCTGACCAGCTCTTCGTTGCTGCTCATGGCCTCTTCATGCCGCTCGACCGCAACGGCGCAAGCTCTTTCAGACTCCTCCAACTTTTTCTGTTCGCCAGCCAGTTGGAACTCGAGCGGCACGACCTTACGGCGTGTGTCCTCCAGCTCCAACTTGACTGCTTGCAGCTCAGCATGGGCAATATTCCAGTTGGCACTCTCCTTCTTCAACTTGGCCAACTGGGCCTTGGCCTCCTCTGCTTTTAGCTTGGCAGCCCCTGCTTTCCTTAGAAGGGCCCCTGCCAAGGTGGTTACCTCCATTTGGGCGGAGCATAACCCCCTCAACAAGTCAGCCTCATTGAATCTGGAGGCCGAGCGCAGGGCTGTCTCCTCCACAATCTTCACCAAGCGGTCTGCCCCCGCCCTGGCTGGCCCTTCTTCTCTCTCCAACCTTCCCGCTACCGCGCGAGCATGGTAGATTGTCGTGGCCAGACGAACCCCTCTTTCCTGAGGTGCAGGGCCCCTTTGGGTCTGCTCCCTCCCGCTCGGCTCAGCCTCAGTTAACCCAACTCCTACTTGCATCGTTGGGGCAGTCTCCACAACCTCCAGTATGGGGGTGACCCCCACCACCTCTGGGGTATCCTTGGCCACAAGGGCCTCCACCTCAGTTGGGGCCACCTTAGCCCTCTTGGCCCCAGACTCATCTGCAGCTCCCTTTGGGGCACTCCTCTTCTTTTTCTTCTTCTTTTTCAGAGCCTCCCCCTCCTTTCTGACCTGTTCTTTTACAGGATCTACTGGGGGCGGTCGTGGCTCAAAACTGCTTAAGTCCTTCCTCTCTAGCGGCCTTGCGCGGTCGGATCCTCTCTCGCACGATCGGTTGAAGTGGTCGGTCTCCTCGCGTTTCCTTCAACTTCGTGGCTTTAGCAAGTATGGCCTGATCCTCTACTTCCTGAACTTCTCTTCTCGCCTCCAATTCTGCTTGGTCGAGGTCCCCACCCCTCGACTGCGGTCCCAACCCTGCCTCAAATAATGCGGACGGTTGAACAAGCTCGTCCCATTTGGCCTTCTCTCTCACCCTCCACTCCTTCACCCTCTTCACCCTCTCTTCCGCCGCTGCCCACAGTCTTGACTCCATCGACCTAATGGGCACCTTCTAGATGGTGCGCAATCCCAATCCCCTATTGGCAGACACGTAGAACCACCGTGGCTGCCACCCCTTGATCGATGTCGGCAGCCCCGCCACCAATCCCCTCCCCATCACTGCTTGTAGGGTGACCCACGTCTCTTGCTGCCCCGAAGCCTTATAATAGGAAAAGAACTCATCTACCGCTATGGCTTCTCCTCCATTCGCCTTGGGCTACGCACTAGCACAGGCCAATAGAATCTTCCATGCATTGGGCATCAATTGCCCCGGCGCTACCTCCAGACGGTTCAGTACGTCAACCACCACTTGGGGTAGTGTCAACCTCAACCCACCTTTTAGCGCCTCCTCGTAAAGGGAAAACTCCCCTGGCCTGGCATCAGACGGCCTTTCCCTTGATGTTGGCAGCAATAACTCCACCTTAGCCGGAATCTGGTATTTTTCCCTGATAGCCTCCAAATCCGCCGCAGTAATTGTGGATTTGTCAGCCTTAGTGTGCCACTGATCCGGCTCTACCTGGCTTATTGGCCTTGGAGCCAATATCAGGTCTGACGCCTACGATTGTCCTACAGGTTCCCCCACCCCCACCATTCGTGTCTCCGTCCTATATCGTGCTGCTAACTCCTCTGCATCACCGTCTCCCAGAGGGTCCACCCTCACATTCACCACTTCTTCTTGTGCCATTTCTAGGGTTTGCTTACGAATCACTTCTGACGCAGGAGTAAGGAAGTTGAGAAAATGTTGCACAGGTGTGTCGTGCGCAACGAAAGAATTAACACTTGGGTATTTTGAGTTTTTGTAAAAAGGTAGGTGAAACGAATTATACCAAAAACCCACGGTTTACCCGTATTCCACGGATCCACATTAATTTTCGCCCGTTTAAAAACCTTTCAAATCAACCGCCAAAACCGCCTTTTCAAAACCCCCCCTCGTGACCTATTGTTTCATTTCTGTCCAACGCTTCACTTCCCCCCACGATATTGCCACGTGTATGGCCACGATGCACTGTCCCCTCCCCTTACCCTGTCCTTTCCATTTCACATCATCACATGGCACGCCCCCCCTTTTTGAGCCCCGCGCCGTCCTGGTCGGCACGCCCCACGCTCGGCCACCCTTGCGGTTGGCACGCCTCACGGTCGACCCCTCCCTTGACTGCTTGCAGTTCAGCATGGGCAGTCTTCCAGTCGGCACTCTCCTTCTTCAATTTGGCCAACTAGGCCTTGGCCTCTTCAGCCTTTAACTTGGCAGCCCCTGCCTTCCTAAGTCATTAAGGCTCAAGCTTGAGTCAAGCCTAACGCCTACCGGTCGGCCTCTCCATCTGGTTCACATTTCTCTTCCTTATTACTATTCCCTTCGTTGGACTAAAGCTGCACTCGGAAATGAGGGACTACTGACATGGATAGGCCCATAAGGCTTACAGCCCACAGCAAACAACCCCAAACCCATCGCTTGGGACCCATAGCATAACCTGGTTGGCAAAGCCCAGGACAGCTGGAGGCCATCTGGACATGGAGGGCCACTGGCATTCGGGCACATGGCGGGTGAAACACAGGCCACATCAGCAGACAAAGATTTGCAGAGTTATTGCCACAACACATCACCATTAATGCAGCCCATCACAGCATTTATTACGAGAACATCTCCCCGTCGGAACAGAGCCCCCTCACCCTGAACAAGGTAAGCTATGACACAGGCTTTCGGCGGAAGGGGGCACGTCGCAAGGGACAGTGAAATGATTACCAAAGGATATAAGCAAGAATCGAAGACAAGAGGAAGGTTTAGCTTTTCTATCTCTCTCTCTATATTTCCTTCTTCCTCTACTAATTTGCTCGTCGGAGGGTCCACTGGGGGACTATCCCGTTCCCCTTTGAACTTGCTTGCAGGTCATCTGGTGGAATCATCCGCCTGAATCGGAACTTGAAGAACTTGGACCAGGCTGACCCATCCACCCAGGACGAACTGCATCATCAATATTAATAAAACATTTGAGATTCTTGATATTTTTCATATATGCTGGGCTTAGTTAAGAAATTTGAAAAAGACTTTGAAAAGAAAAAATAAGAAATGTATAAAATCAAAAAAAAGACAGACATATTTTGTTTATTTTTTCTTTTTTTAAATCCTTCCCAAGCTTCTCAATTATCAGCACCATAGGGAAGAAAAATAAAAACAGAGATACGAATAAAACCGGTAGTACAGACTAATTCCATACTCACCTCCGTCACACGGGACATCTCTCTATATAAAACCGCAGAAACCCTCTTCTCTCTCCTCCTCCCCCGCGTTCTCGACTCTCCAAGATCCACCAGCCCCCCACCCCCCTACACTGCTCAAACCCTAGACACCGCCAACGGGAGGAGTGTGAGAGAGAGAGAGAGAGAGAGAGAGAAGAAGACGAAGCATTCGCATCACCTCACTCGTCTCTCCGATCCTAACATAACCGAAGCTCAGGTACACATCTCTTTGTACTCGAATCTCAACCGATCTCGAGATCTTGGCGAGTTCTCCAAATCCACGTTTTTCGGAATATTAGGGTTTTATATGCATTTTCCGCAGCTTACGTACCTGATACTTGCTTTTTTAGTTTTGTAGGGTTTTGATTGCTGCTTGGAGATCCATCAGTAATGGCGGCGGTGGCGACGACAACGGTGGCGGCACAACCACCTGTATCTGCTCAAGTTGTATGTATCGATTGACTTCTTTCTGTTCACTTTATTATTATTATTTTATTTTAATGGATTTATTGCTTGCTGTTCAGTTTGCGTAGAGTTGGTTTTTGAATGAATTTGTGCTTCGTGTTAGGTTGGGAATGCTTTTGTTCAACAATACTATCACATTCAGCACCAATCGCCGGAGCTCGTCCATCGATTTTATCAGGACATCAGTAAGCTTGGTCGTCCTGACGATAACGGCACTATGAACATCACGACGACCATGCTGGTATATCGTTGATTTCTTAAAACTTGGTAGCGTCATGTCTAAGCTTTTGGCGATTGTTAGTCGTGATCTGTTTTTATGCTCCATTTCATTGCAGAGAAACCGGTAGAAATTAATTCAGTTTTTTGTTTTTTTGCTCAATATTCAGAGGGAGAAAAGGATTTAAACTTTGTCTTTTAGCCTATTAGTTGTGTTGCAGATAGACATGTTATGGAATTTTTGTTCTCTGAGGTACCAAATAATAAGTAGCGCTTGAATTTTGTTTCATTTGTTTTTATTGGTGCGATATTTTTACGCTCCATTTTGCTATTGGAAATGATAGGGAAAGGAAATGGAAAGTGAAAGAATAGTGGAAACTATGGAAAGTGAATGAAGAAAAATAATTTATGTATGAAAATTTTGACATGCTCTTACAGGTTTTCAAATTATCTTTGCTGCTTTACAAGGATACTTTGTTTGGATTTTTAAATGTAAAAACTCTTTATTTTTGTTGTTAATATTTTCTTCTCGATTTTTCGATGCAGCTAAACAAAGAAAATTAAAATTTATTGTAATTTATTTTTCTTTCCTTCCAACTATCTGAGTTCTAAATAAAGCATGGATCAACATGGCAGTGTTAGGGGAATTTTGAGTGAAAGTAATTGGGTTGTAAGTCTCTTTCCATGTTTGGTTGGATCTTAATTCACAGGCTATCGATGAGAAGATACTGTCACTTAACTATGGTGAACTCAGGGCAGAGATTAAATCTGTGGATGCACAAGAATCTTTCAATGGGGGAGTCCATGTCCTTGTAACTGGGTATTTGGTGGGGAAGGACAACATGATCCGGAATTTCACTCAAACTTTCTTCCTTGCGCCACAAGAAAAAGGCTACTTTGTTTTGAATGACATGTTTCGCTATATGGAAGATATCAAGCATCATAATGGAAACCAGAGTTTCACTAATGACGTGGAGGCTCCTCTCACTCCAGAGCAAGGTAATGGATAAAAACTCCAATTTTCATACTGAGTATAGTTAACGTTTGAGTCGTTGATGGTGAAGAACCTTAATTTTTTTTTTTTTGGTTGGCAGATTCTTCTCCTGTGCAGGAGAATCATGTTTCCGAGCAAACAGTGGTTACTGTAGAGGTCATTGAGGAAGAAGCTCTCAATCCCACAGATAATGGAGAAGTTTCAGTTGTGGAAGTGGAAGAGGAGGTGCCAGTGGCCGAGGTTGTTGATGAAGTACCAGATGAATCACAGGTGGTGGTTGAATCCAACTCCAGAATTGAGGGAGTTCCAAAGAAGTCTTATGCTTCTATTGTAAGTGTCCATTGAACAAGCATACTATGATTGGAATTTCTTCTGCACTTGTGATAGTTAAGTTACCTATGCAATAGTTTCACTTCTCACTTTGGTAATTTCTACATGGATGTAAAATTATGAAGATGTTTTGGTGTATATGTAAACATCTACCAATGTTTTTTTGGTGCTGCCAACCTGCAGATGCATTGAGATTATAAATAATCAGTAGCTTTGTTTTGGTATTTCAGGTGATGGTTATGAGAGAGAGTGCTATGCCGTTGTCATCTCCTGCACCTGCTCCTCGGAGACCTATAGCAAAGAGCCAAGAGCAACCAGTAAACCTTGTTCAGGCATCTGCAACAGCAGTTGAGACACCAGTTTCCGGTTCAGATGCCATAGAAAATGGGAATAATCAAGAGGGCGAAGGTATGCACTCATGTATGTGCTGCTGGTTCTTGAATATCATTTCACTTCACAATTGATTTGTGAATGTTTGATGAATCTATTTATGTGAGTCATCTATTTATCTGTCTCTCTTTTTCACAGCTGATGGTTATTCAATTTATATAAAGGGTCTCCCTTTGAATGCCACGCCTGCCCTTCTTGAGGATGAATTTAAGAGGTTTGGTCCTATAAAGAGTGACGGTATTCAAGTTAGGAGTAACAAAGTATGTGTCAAGTTATCTTACTTATTTAGTCGCTTCTGGTTTTGTTATTCTTGGCTATTTATTGTCTTTTTATTACAGCAGCAGGGTTTCTGTTTTGGCTTTGTGGAATTTGAGGTGGAAAGTGCTGTGCAAAAAGCAATTGAGGTATACATTAGCCTATGCTCTATGAACTGGTCTGTTTGTCTGCCATTTGTATGTTTATTTCCTTATATGAACAACGTGGATGGTTCGTAACATATTTCTTAGATGGGGTTTCAATGTGATGAGATAAAAATAACTGTGTCAACTAGTGGCATTGTATTTGTTTTCATGTTGAATGTTTTGTCGTAGTGTTATTCTGCCACTGTTTGCTAGTATTATGGACAATTTTTCCTGCTGTGCATGCAATTTTTTGGTCTTGCTGATTAGGTCTTGGAATGGGAATGTGTTCATCCTCCATTTGAGTTTTCTTAGGCATGCACCTGTTTATGTTTGTGCACATGTGATTTTCAAGTTTCATGGTCTATACTCAAGTTGGAAGTCTAATGGGTTTGGTTATGATTGGAGCTATGAAACATTAAAAATTTCCTGATCAGTACGCGTTTTTTTTTTTTGTTTACTTTCTTTGTGTGCAAATATGTGCATGTAGTATGCAGTAAGAGATGTTTGTCAGTGTCAGAATGGATAGGAGAGTGTTGTAGTGGTAAAATACTGAAATCAATTGGAAGCTTGTCAAGGATGGGACATGTAGATGCTGCAGGATTCATCTATTTGTCAGATCTCGGGACAAGGGACATGACTGAGTTGTTAAGACTCTATTTCTTGTATGTGTATATTTTTCAATTGACAATTTCATTAAAATTAGAAATGAACAATCTTTTGAAAGAATGGTCACAATTTAAGGGGTTGTTTGGGGTGTCCTAAATAAGTGCACTTTTTTGTCTTTTTGGACTAAAAAGTTGAGGAAAAAAATATGATTGTTTGGGTTAACTTTTTGACTTTTTATGGAAAAATGTGTATTAAAAAATTGTATAAATTAGTGTGTAGGGGAAAATTAGGAATGGGAGTTGTGCAGCCGTAATTTTTGACTTTTGGTGAATAGTGATAACTTTTTAACTTTTTGAGTAACTTTTTGGTTTTTTGGCTTTTTGACAAAAAAATACTTGAATATTTTTCTTAAAATGGGTGTTTTCTGGAGACTCCCCCGTAAAACAATGTTGTGGAAACTCTCATGCTAGATGCATGCTTGTAGTCTTTTCTTTTTTCATTCCTTTGTATTTTTTGAAGGATTGGGAAAAGGTTTAAAATGATGTTCTAATGTAAATGGCAGTGGTGGTAGTAATATGGGGAAGTTTGTGAGAATAAAATGATAGAATTGGCGTTTGTGATCGCGTTGAATAAAATATTAAAATGATGACATCAAGGTTGCCCTTTAACAACCATTACATTTTGTATTAGGACACACCATTATCTCAGTATTTTCAATTTTTCATATTTTTTCAACCCAATGGAGTAGGGTGCTGAAAATGAGTGTGATGGCAGTGAGTGGTAGCAACAATAGTTGTGGCAACATAAATGGTAGTAGTTGTCATGGTTGTGGTGGCATTTGTGTCCAGAATTGCTGCCCCCTCTGCTATTCACTCAATTTTATATTGGCGTTGGTGGTAGGGCACTGTTGTTGATTCTTGTCACCCAAGATGTTCCGTACCTAGATACCAATTTGACTGGTAACCTGCCCATTTTGCATTGAGGTTAGACAAATGCTGAGGTTATATATAGCAGGTCCTGGGGAAGAGCGAGAACTTGACTCGGATTTTAGTCAGTACATAGGCTTTGTTTAAATGTTTTAAATGGAAATGATGTCATCTTTCTTTGATTTAAATGAGTTGTAAAACCCTTGCATGTATATAAGTCAGCTGGAAAAGCCTGCATATGCGGGGTGCTTTTCCAGATAAGTATTTTCTCATTTTGCTTCACTGCTGCCTTGTTGTCCGCCAGTGATGCCTCGGTTAGGAATGTGTGATATCTTCTATTAAGAATTCAGGCTATCTTTAATGATGAAATCAGTCATGATTTGTTTTTGTGTTTTAATTTTCTGTGATTGTTGTTATTTGTAGATGAAATTTACTTTCCTTATGAGGTCATTGAGGAAGGTTGGTTGCCTGTGGGTTTAACAGTTTTTTTTGTTATTGGGCTTGGGAGGGATATAGCTGATTTTTAAATGATTTCTATATGGGAACAGCTAACCTGTCACTATTTTCTCTAGCAGCCTTTGAGTGCCAGTGCCCTACCATTGCTTTCATCAACTTGTTATTTCATAATTGCAGCTGCATGCTGTCATCACTACTCTCGTTGCCTTCACACCTAGATCTAGCCACTCAAACTCTTGTTTGATATGTTACCACATTCATATTGAATCACATGTATAAAAATGAAATATCTGACTCCATCCCAAATGTAGAAATCTGATGCCAATATCATGGATTCAGGGAACTCTAGTTACAATATGGAATATCATGGATTCAGGGAACTCTAGTTACAATGCCATAGTGTTCATATCCTTTTTTTCACCTGCATTCACTACCTGGTGGTGCATTTAGGAAGCAAGTCCAATCCTTGCATTTGCAACACATTTTGATCACCGGTTACTGAATGTTTATATTTTGTAATGGCATTGTACTTCTGTAGAATAATTGGAGATACTATTTTGTAGGCTTTTCTGCCAGATTTTTTTATTTTTTATTTTTTTTTTGTGTGTGTGTGTGTGTGAACTGTACTTATTCCTATTTGTGTTGTGAAATATATTCTATTCATCTTTCAGGCTTCGCCCGTTACAATTGGTGGGCGCCAAGCTTTTGTCGAGGAGAAGAGGTCTACTAATTCTCGAGGCAAGTTGGGTTTTATGATGCTACTTCACTCTTTTTAAGATAGCATGTTAATCTCTAATTGTGTGTCTCGTGTGCTTGATTGTATTGCTTGTTGATAAGGAAAGGGGTCATCCTATATGTTTGTGCGGCAGGAAAACTATCCTTCACATTGGTTTGGGGTATCCCTGTACCACTTTCTTTTCTATAACTACAGCTGTTCTTTCTTTGCAGTGAATAATAACAGGGGGCGGTTTTCAACTGGAAGGGGATCTGGATTCAGGAACGAGGGGGTCAGAGGGCGTGCAAACTATGGAAGCGGTAGAGGCTATAACCGCGGTGATTTCAATGGCCGGACTGAATTTGGTAATAATAGGGATAGGGGCAGCAATCGAGGAGGATTTTCGAGTCGCGGAGGGGACGGATATCAGAGGTCTGATAGCATGGGAAGCAACGGTGGCGGCCGTGCAAACCGTGGTGGTGGGATGGCAGTCAATGCAACAGCCAAAACCGTGGCACCACGGGTGTCTGCTACTGCTTGAGGACGACCCCATAGCTTAGAGAGCCAGTGATCTGTGAGGGATTGAAATAGGTTTGTGTGTTTTTTTTTTTTTTTAAAAAAATGTAGTGACTAAGTGGTTGATGATATCATTTGGTGGGCAGATCCTTCAGGCTGTCTGAAAATTTTCAAGTTAAAATCCTAACTTTCTTTCGCACATTTTTTTTCCCTTCTTTTTTTTTTTTTTTTTTATAATATTCTTGGGTGGGTGTTATAGGGTTGATGATAGTTAGATGTTGGAAGTTAGCTTTTGTTGTGAAGTAGTTGTAGTGCCCAAGGGATTATTTCTAATTCATTTTGTTGGGCTTTTTGTATTCGGCAAATTATTATTTTAGAGTTTATTTTTGAATACTGGTAATGAAATATGGGTCGTTGCTACTATAACTCAGCTGTAGTGCATGTATTCATTCTTTTGGATTTAATGCGTAATCTCCAACTTTTGTCAGAGTAATTCTTGAAATGATTGTACACACAATGATGAAATGGAAGCTCCTGATTCAGTGCCTATATATTTTTTTCTTAATTTGCTTCTCCCCAAAGTAAATCGATTTGTAATCCATTGATGTGTGTTTTAGCGGGCCATTTCCCTAAATAAGTTAAAATACTAAATCAATTCTCAAATTAAGTTTAGTTTTGAAAGAATTCTCAAAATAGGCTAATCACGTTCGCAATCACAATTTCAACATGTATGTGCCTGTCTCGCGTGAAATTTGGAAAGTCTTAAAATCGTAGTTACAAAACGCGATTTTGATTAAGAAATTGCGGTTACAAAAGGCGTTTTTAATTAATTTTTTTTTTTGAAATCGCTGTTCTGAACTATGCTTTTATCGAGAAAAAAAAATTTCTTCTAAAATCGCTGTTTTGAATCACGATTTTTACCAAATTTTTTTTTTTCTTCTGAAAGCGTGGTTGTGAACCACGCTTTCAATACACAGATGCAATAGCTGATAAAAAATAAAGTGAAGTGAACCAAGTGCTATTGGACCAACTGATACACAAGTGCTATTGGACCAACGTAAAGCGAACACTCATCAACATAAATTTCTAAAAAAAAAAATAAATTTCTAAAAATTTACGCTACCTTAGTGTTTAGGGATAAAATTTATTTTTTATTTTACTAAAATAAAAATAAATAAATTTTAAGAATTAAACCCTAAACCCTAAAATAAAAAAAAATAAAATTTATCCCTAAAGCGTTTGGTAACGTTTACGTTTTTTGATTATATTTATGAAAATTTTATAAATCGATTTTTATTTATTTTTAGAAAAACATAAATTACAAACGCGTTTGGTTTGAACAAAATGTTTAAAAAATTTTAAAAACATAAAATAAAAAATATGTTTGTTCGAGCCTAAAATATTTATAATTATTTTTATTATTTATGATAATGGGATCACACATATTATAATTGAAAAAAAATTAATTTAAAAAAAAATAAAACTTATAATATGTGTGATCCCATTGTCATAAATAATAAATATAAACCACATTTTTTTTCAATAATTTTTACAAACCACGTTTTTTCCAATTAAATTTTTTTCAAATATTTTTTTTAATTAATTTTTTTTTTCACTTATAATATGTGTGATCCCATTGTCATAAATAATAAATATAAATATAAATATTTTAGGCTTGAACAAACATTTTTTTATTTTATGTTTTTAAAATTTTTTTAACATTTTATTCAAACCAAACGCATTTGTAATTTACGTTTTTCTAAAAATAAATAAAAATCAGTTTATAAAATTTTCATAAATATAAACAAAAAATGTAAACGTTACCAAACGCTATCTTAGTATTTAGGGATAAATTTTATTTTTTTTATTTTAGGGTTTAGGGTTTAATTCTTAAAATTTATTTATTTTTATTTTAGTAAAATAAAAAAATAAATTTTATCCCTAAACACTAAGGTAGCGTAAATTTTTAGAAATTTATTTTTATTTTTAGAAATTTATGTTGATGAGTGTTCACTTTACGTTGGTCCAATAACACTTGTGTATCAGTTGGTCCAATAGCACTTGGTTCACTTTACTTTATTTTTTATCAGCTATTGCATTTGTGTATTGAAAGCGTGGTTCACAACCACGCTTTCAGAAGAAAAAAAAAAATTGGTAAAAATCGTGGTTCTGAGCAGCGATTTCAGAAGAGTTTTTTTTTCTCGATAAAAGCGTGGTTCAAAACAGCGATTTTAGAAGAAAAAAAAATTAATTAAAAGCGCCTTTTGTAACCGCGTTTTCTTAATCAAAATCGTGTTTTGTAACCACGATTTTAAGATTTCTCAAATTTCACGCGAGACAGGCGCATACATGTTGAAATCGTGGTTGTGAACCACGATTTAGCCTATTTTGAGAATTCTTTCAAAACTAGACTTAGTTTGGGAATTGATTTAGTATTTTGGCTTATTTAGGGAAATAGCCCTGTTTTAGCCTTTTGACAGAAAGGAGGTACCCTAATATTATATTGGGTAAGTTACACTAATCGTCTTTATATTTTAGGATTTATGTTATTTTGATTTTTGATTTTTTAATTGTGATATATTTGATTTTAAATTTTGATTCTTATTTAAATAAGGACAATTGAACATATTGTTGTTCTATTTGAAGGGCAAAGTTGTTATATAATTTATTGTGTTGGTCAATTTATATTTTGTTTGAAATATAATATTTATTTTTAATGAATAATGTTAAAAAGTTTTTGGGTTATAAAGTTTTGTTTGATTTAATTTTCAAAATCTATTTTTAGAAAATTTTTCTAAGAAATTGGTGAAAAAAAATAAAAAAAAGATAGCATTTTTATATAATTTTATCTTTTAGAACGGTAGAAATAATTTTTTTATATGCTTTTTTTTTATATTTAATTTCGTTAAATTAGTTTTTATTTTTTTAAAAGTCAAATATGACTACAATTTTGATGTCATTATTAAACCAATCTATTAAATCAAACAATTCAAAACTAACAACATTTCATATATTAAACATATAATTTATACATTAAAAACTTAATAACCATCCATTAAATGATATCCATTCAAAAAAATCTGTTAACAACAAATACAACCATCTGTTACATGATAACTATCTAAAAATATCAACAAAAATAATCACATATTACATGGTCATCATCCAAACATATAATAAAAATTAATTTGATAAAAAAAAATAATAAAAAAATAATCATTTTTATATAACTTTATCTTTAGTGAGTAAAAATAATTTTTAAAAATTTAAAAAAGAAATTTTGACTTTTATTTTTGTCAAACTAATTTTTATTTTATCAATTTGACAATTTTTTCTTTGAAATGGAACAATAACGTCTTCAATTGTTTTTATTTAGAATAAGATCCAAAATTCAAAATCAAATATATCACAACCAAATGTACTACAATTAAAAAGTCAAGAATTAAAATAACACAAGATCCAAACTACATAGACCAATTGAAAAATCAAATACTAAAATAATACAAATTCTAAACTATAAAGACCGTTAGTATAATCTATCCAATTACAAATCAAAAGGATTGCTATTTTATCAGTTGTTTGCAAAATCATTCACTTGAATTGGACTACTACGGTCATTTTCATATAGAAAATTGAAGAATGGAGTCGTCCTGTGCAATAGACAATAGGATTACATAGGAGATTCTATGATCAGAGGACTAACTAGTTACTCTAGATTGATTAAGAAGTCAAAAAACAGGGGACACTATTTCCCCCATTTTTCCAACTTGCATATAGCACAGCCAGACAGAAATCTTTGGCTCATTTGAAATAGATCAAACCTTTCACTAGGCAGAACATGTGCTCTGCATCTACATGTATGAATGCCTGAATCTCCTTCCACAGGTTTTAAAATGCACTAGTGGTGGGGTAGTGAAGAACTGTAAAGCATTGAATTGATGTCACACTGATATTTCTTTAAAACATATTCAAAAGGGTATGTTCTAACAAATAACAACATTGCATTACCATACACTACAAGTCCACAATGAAATATAAGGTGGTTATCACAAGACAAGACACATTGGTAATATAACCCAACAATTTACCAAGTATTTGAACATTCAGCCAAGACAATTAATTGTAAATGCATATGAACAATTGAAGCATAATTTATGAACTACCATTTGTTTTGACATTTCTGAAAGCAAAAGAAGAATGCTAAAACTTAGGTAGACATAAAAATTCTACGACACTAGATAAGAACATTTAAGTTTCGTGTAACAAGAAAAGATGGGCGAACATTTAAGTTTCGTGTAACAAGAAAAGATGGGCCTCGCAAAACATATGCTTGCACAAGGACTTAGCATTGGCAGATCCTTCAAGCATAGGATTCAACTATGAGCGCATTTATCTAAAGGCCGAAATTACAGGCCTGGATGTACTCATTATCATAGTCGACATGCTTTGTCCAAAGTGACCGAAATTGATTCATGGCAATATCAAGCCAAGGTTTCATATTCCCGTTGAAGTGCACAACTGCAGCATTATTGATCTCTTGTATGCTTATGCTTGGATTATAGCCAAGCCCCAGAACATGCCAAGATTTGTCTAGTGGTTTTGTTGTGGAATAAAAGGTGATCAGGCCTGGGGGCAATGTCCCCAGTTTCCACAAGGTCCGGTTCTCATTCTGCATCAAAGACGACATCTCTAGTTAGTTAGTGAATAGGTAACAACATACAAAACACAACTAAAAATCCCATAGATAATACAGAACAGAACTATGCTTAATAACCAGTCCTATATCAGATCAGCATACCACAGAAACTAAAATGAGAAAACCTAATGGTTCATTGGTTCATGAGAGTGTGCAATAAAAAAGAACATATAACCAATTCAACAAATCAGATACATTGGAATCAACTCAAACAATTGAAGATTCTTAATCAAGAATTAAGGACCATAAATAACATGGTATAACTATAATATATGAAAGGTTATTAATGCACAAGTTAATAAATTATTCAAGAAAAAAACAAAAGCAGTTTCCAGAGTAATTCAAGCTCACCAGAGTCTGCCAGTAGTGATACTGTTCTGTGCATTTCTCCTTTCTCCAAGCATCCAAATCGAAGAAGTTCATCCCATAAGCCCATCCACACGCCTTTGGATTAAACTTCTCTCTGATCAAAGGGTGTGAGAAATTCATGTACTGCGCATACCGATGGAACGACCCGAAACAAGTCTCAACAGCCCCATTCACCTTTCCATCCATGTCTATCTTCCATAACCCTGTAAGGTCCCTCTGAACAACCACATCATCATCCAAAAACAAGATCCTGTGCAATTTCGGGTACATTTCGGGCAAATAAAACCTCAGATGATTCAGCATTGACAAATACTTAGGGTTCCTAAATTTCATGTTGGTTGTGTCTTTTGTTGCGTTCTCAAGCTTATTCTCAAAATAAAACCTTTGCAAGTTTGCGGATTCGAGTTGCCGAAGCACGGGAACGTATGAAGAATTCAAAAACTTGTAGTCCTCCACGGCCTTGACCTCAATGTGAGCTCCATTGTAATCCCTCATCTTGAACATAACCTGCATTGCTCCGAGATTCATCTTATCAGTCACAACATGAAACACGTGCTTCCATGGCTCTTTCTGGTTCTTCACTGCCGAATTCACCACAACCGACGCTGCAATCACATTATCTGAAAAAATTGCGTAGTGGTAAAGCTTCGGGTCCTCAATCTCAGGAGGAGTTGGCTTTCCTTCGTCCGAGTACTTATCCGGATGAGCAATTCGCTCTTCCATTAATCTCATAGCGACGCAATGCAAGCTCTTCGGGATCGATTTCGCTGCAATCAAGCTCGAGAACGCCCCTTGCTTCTTCGCCTTCGTTAACTGCTCATTTACGGAAAAAATCGTGTCCTTGAGCTTCTGAATCTTGAGCTGGTAATCGAAAGACTCCTTCGCCTCCGCGATAACTTGTCGCGTGACCTTGATCCGCTCCTTCACCTCCTTCTCAAACTGTCGAAGCACAATCTCGTCAATCGAGCTCGCATCGGAGTCAAACATAGCCTTATACGCAGGTTTCGTGATCAGATCCGTGTAGTTCCGAGAGAGATCAGCGAAACCCCTAACAAGCTTCGAATTCTCAAGCTTCAGTTTCCGAGCATACGAAGCATAAGCGAGAACCAGAGATCGGTGATCGTCCGCTTGCTTCCTGATCTGATCCAATCGCGGCTTCAACGGATCAGATTTGAGCGCTAGAACCGTTCTCCGCACCGATCCAACTCCATCCGAAGCAGATGCGAAACCCTAACAAACCAAACAAAAAAACACAGTAAACACATTAACAAATGAAGAAATGGTGTTAAATAAATGTGGATTTTCGGAGGACACTCACGAGGTTGAGATCGGAGGGGTTGGTGGTGGAGGGAGTGACAAAAAGAGAGAGAGTGAAGAAGAGGAAGACGGCGACGGTGATGGCGGAAGCAAAGAACATAAATTTGAAAGAAGCTACGGCGCCGGAAAGTCCAGTTTTCCGATCGGAGAGTGACGATCGAGAGCTTCGAAACGTTGTTTTCGCCATTTTTTCGAGTTCTGGTTAGAGAGAGAGAGAGAGAGAGAGAGAGAGAGTCTAGATAGAGAGCATACCTATCAAGGTAGTTGCTCCAAGGGGGAGTCTCTGCGAGAAAGATTAGAGAGAGAGAGAGAGAGAGAGAGAGAGACGAGAGAGATTAGAGAGTGTCGATGGCAACTGTAGAAGTGAAGGGGACGCGGGGAAGGTCTCTCCTGTGGCGGTGAGGGTTTGTTTGTGGATCGGTCAAGTGCCACCAACGAAAAATTATTCGCTGCTCTTTGGGTATTACCCCAACGCCTTGTGAACCGCTGGATTAAGTCTTGGGCCACCTCTTAATGCGATCGTTCGGTTTTTAGATTCGTTGACCAAATGCTCAACAATACAAAATAATTTTCACTCATTAGTTTGGAAAGTTGAAAATAATCTATTTTTTTTATATTTTTTTCATCATATCACCTCTCTACTTTTTTATCCAACATTTTCATAAAAAAATAAAAAATATATTTATTTATACCATTCTAAACAATCCTGTCACTGAATTTGAGTAGATTATTTTAATACAACATAACATAAGTACCTATCATAATAAAATGAGGGAACTTTATTATTTGAATCCAATTACAATCTAACACAATTCCATCATTTTCATATCTCAATAATGAGGAAGCTTCATTATGTACACCACACTATAATTTTTTTTATTTGAATTTGACCCACTAATTTATACTTAGAATCTCTTCATTTTATCTAGAGTTGTAATATAAATTAATAATAATAACATATAAATTCATTAAATAAGAATTTCTACCTACTATTTAATGCTCTAATTAACAATTGAATTCTTCAAATGATTAGCAGTAAATGAATTGTTTTTAATTTTTTGTCATTTGCTAAGATGATTGTGAATTTAGTAATTGTTTCAAATAAAACAAAGTCAAGGTCCAATCTCAAGAGTAAAACATTAATTGCGTCCAATTAATTAATTGGACTACACAACCAATTGGTAATCATCAGATTTTCCTTAGAAGTAGTTTTATCAGCTTTAAAACAAAAGAAAAGTAAGAAAAATAATGATAAATTATCAATAAATCTTAATAGTTGGATTTAATTTATATTAAGTTTTATTAAAAATAAATTCTAATAAAATTATCGCTAAAATTAATTTTTTGTGATAATTATTTATATATGTCGCTAAAAATTAACAATTAATAATTTTTTTTGTCACTATTTTTATAAGTTATCGTTAAAACTTATAATTAGTAACGTTTTTCTGTGACACGTTAAAAGTTGAAAGTTAACGACTTTTTTTGTGATGATTTTTTAAAACTGTTGTTATAAATTTATAATTAATGATATTTTTTGTAACAATTTTTAAACTGTCATTGAAAATTAAAAGTTAGTGACGTTTTTTAACACTATTTGATAAAAAATGTTATTAATTATTATAAAACCTATTAGACAATAAATCCACTTATTAAGACCTACATTTAACTCTTCCGAAAAATAATTCGTTTTACAATATAAAATGAGATATGCTAATAACTTTTTTTGAGGTATTGTTTAACTTTAAAATTTTTATAAAAAAAATACTGTAAAATGGCAAAAATGTTAAAAAAATTATATTCAATAAAAAATAATTTTAAATTAATAAAAAGTGTCTTATGTATTTTTTTTTGTCATTTTCTTTTACACCATGAATATTTATTAGCAAGACCCATACAAATTATTAATTTATCCATCTTCATAAAAAAAAATTGGTAAAAATCTCTAAAATAAATTGCAATCGTGTGAGAAGTTAGAAGATTTTAAAGTCAAATGTCCATAAATTTATAATTTTTATTGTGAAAAAGATAAGTTAAATATTTTTACCCTAAACCCTCCTTATCTATATAATAGTACTAGCCTATCACCCGTGTTATGCATGGGATAATTATAGATATTTATATTTGTTTTAAATTTTTTTTAATATATAAATTATATTTTTTAAGATTTTTTATAAAAATAATGTAACAATCTTATCACTAACCATAGTGTATGTGAGAAGTTGAAAAGAGTGCTGCAGTAACTATGCATGGGTTGTATCTATAATTATTTGTATGAGAGAATTTTGACCAAAGCTCTCAAAAGACATGGGGAAATGCATGTAGATTGAAAAAAGTTAATAAATGCTGATCAGGGGATGCTGACCAAATCAATAAATGCTGAGGTTTTTTTTTTTAAATCAAAAATTTAGAAAATTAAGATTGAGATATTGAAGCTCCCACAAGGCTTAGGGTTAGAAACCTCGTTTTCCTTAGTTATAGATATAGATAATATAATAACAATAGATAATAGATAAATAGATAGATAACAAAATTATAAATAATTAAATCAAAACAATAATGATCATTGCATTTGTTATCATTGATAAATTTTTTTTATGGGATAACTCGTAAATTATTGAGGGCCAATTTTCCAATGAATAGGGCACAAGTCCATAATAGAATGGAATGAATCACTATAATCTTTCATTAATTTTTTGTTAGCTTATGGTACTTATAAAATGAAGTTTTTCATTTCATTATGATCTAAAAGATCCCATCAAGTAATAATTATTCAAAAAAAAATTTAAAAAATGTTAAATAAGTTTGAAAATTTGTTATGAGTTAACAGTTATACAGACCATTTTGAATTTTTATGATGAATTAAAATCTCAAAAAAAAAAATGGAAATTTTTATTTCATGATCAAAATCTTGCCACTATAATCCAACAAAATGAAGAAACCATTGAATATAAAATTTTCTCACCAAAAAAAAAAAAAATTGTACATATAATTTAATGAATTGAACACAAGGATCCTACATAGAAAATGATACTTGCAATAAACACAACACGTATAACATAGAGAAGCAAATTCCCAGCAACAAAACCGGCACAAAGGACAAACAAAGTGGTTTACAATACTCCTTTCATCATCCATAATGACCAATGTCAACAGCTTACATAACATGTTTAAAAGGAATGTAGCTCGCATTATTGCATTTTCTGCTTCTTTTTACCTTGATTCTAGTAACAAATATTAGTAAGTATTTGGTTTGAAATCTGAGTTGTAAGATGTACTGCAAGCGCTTGTAAAAATGTCTGATTGAATATAGTTAGTTGGTGTGAAATCTGGATTGTATGATGTACTTACTTAGTATTTGGTTTGAAATCTGAGACACTGCAATTGCTTGTAAAAATGTTTGATTGAATATAGTTGTTTCACTTTGGTTAACAAATTTTTTTTTTTTCTTTTTTTTCCCTTTTTGTTGCTGTGGTTAGGTCACTGTTGACTGTTGTAGTGCAAGTTGTGGTGATAACGGTGCTAGCAATGGAGATGCAATTAAAATGGTGGAAAAAGTTAACTTTTTATTGTTTTTCTTTTGGGGCCTGTGGGGGACATAGGGAGGGGAAGCATGAAAAATGCAATGAAGTTAAAAAGAGGAAGCAGTGTGAGAAATGTAATGGTGGTTAGGAATGTTATCTCCCTTGACATTTTGGAAGTAAGAGAGGTAGTGGCAAAGAAAAGAAGATGTTCACAAGGCTGGAAGGGGTGAAAATTCTTCCCCAACTGGGTATCCTATTTGTGGAGAGGTGGTTTGGAAATACTCTTCAGATCCTAGGAGACGCTAATGATCCTCAGCTAGTCACCTAAAAAGCTACAAACACTCCGGTCAAGGGTGCCGGAATTAGCACTCCGACGGAAAAGTCAGTTTAGACACTCAAGATAGCTTGTTTTCTAAGTTTAAGTGAAGTGATTCTTACATACCTCTCTAGATCCGTGGTTCCTGTATTTATAGTTGCTTTTTGGGCCTCGAGGCCTGAGCCTACTTTCGTCCTATTCCCCTTTTATTTATTCGGAACTACTGATCTCTGGCTATTTGGCCCTTCATAACGTACTCGGCCTTTACACAGTACGGAGCCGAATAATACCTGATTTTTGGGGTTCGCATCTTCCGACTCTTCCATTTATTCGGCTCCCACAATTGCCCCCCAAGCACTCCACCGACGACAGTTGGCTGGAGCGCTTGGTTCCGTATTTCGAAAAGCTAGAGCCGAAATTCGGCAGTTGGTCTTATCGTACGGATATCTAAGCGCACCCCTTTCAATTGTCGTGTCGACTTCCCACCCCTTCGTACGTGTCTATTTATTGCGATTTAAAATTTTGACATCCTTTCGAGTATGCATTTTACGACGTTCATCGCTGGGCTGCCTTTTGAGTCGTCCCTGGAACTCTCTTCTCAGATACCCTCTTCATCCTTTGTAAATTCTCTTTCTGATTTATTCCTTTTCTTGGTATATTCTTATAAACCGTAGGATATGGCAAAGCATTTGAGAGACCTCCTCTCGTCAAACCGAATTGCTGGCTTTAGACGCCATTTCTCCATTCCTGATGATGTCGATCTGTCACTTGTGGCAGACGGCACTCTTGATATGGAGAGGGAGGACAAAACCACGATTGTCTTTCCTCTTCTATCAATCGCAGAGGGTGGAGTCCGTTTTTCTCTTCACCCGTTTCTTAGGGCTGTGCTTCG